TTCTTCCACTCTACCTTTCCGTCCCAATGCATCAATAACTGTTGTATATGTAACAACATCAGGGTGTTTGTTACTTAAATACATGTCATCAAAGACAGATACAGCAGCCTCTAAGTCACCCATTTGACAGAATCCATGAATGACAGTAGTAAAGTTTACCACATTGACAGCACACCCTTTATTCAGACACTCCTCCATAAATTTTCTCGCTTCGCTTGCTCTGTCTTCTCGACAGAGAGATTGAATCAAGAGGTTAATTTCAACCGGAGTAGGAAAAAAGCCCTTACTGATCATTTCCCGGGCCAAATCACATGCCTCAGACAGCTTCCCTTCTCGACGAAATCCATGCATTAACACACTATATGTCACTGCATTCGGGGTCCACCATTCCTCCTCGCTCATGTTCATCATCTCCCTTGCTTCTGTTGAATTCCCACTCCTACAAAGGCCATTTAACAATGCTGTATATGATACACAGTTTGGCTTACAACCATGCTTGTACATCTGCTGAAGTAACTTTTTAGCATGATCAAGCTCTCCAACTTTACAAAACCCATTCACAACAGCCGTATATGTCACAACATCAGGAGTGCATCCTTTTGAGATCATTTCATTCACAAGTTCTTTTGCTCTATCCATCCTCCCCTTTTGACAGAAGCAATCTATTACTGCACTGTACTCAACCTTATCAATAAATAACCCTCTTTCTTCTGCTTCTCTTAGAAATCCTAATGCCTCATCTGCATGAAGATACTTGGAAAGCATATGAATAATGGTGTTGTAAGTAACCTGGTCGGGCAACAATTTACTATCCTTCAGCATCTTCTCCATCAACCCTCTCACTTCATCGATCCTTTTTTCCTTGCAGAGAAATCCCATCACGGTATAGTAACTAACTTTATCCGGGGAGCAACCCTTGAAGGGCATTTCTGCGATCAGCTCCATTGCACTTTCAAGTCGATGTACATCGCAGTAACCCTTGATCAAACAATTATACGTAATGACATCAGGTTTCATCCCAATAACTTGCATTCTTTCCAAGAACTTCAATGCCTTCTCCAACTTATGGCCTTTCACCAGAACATAAATTGCAGTATTGCATATGGACAGATCAAGTTCTACTCCTGCTTTTTGCATCAGAGTTAATACCTGCATAGCTTTCCTAATATGCCCAGCCCTACTAAAAGAAACCATTACACAACCAAAATCTTCAGGCCCGCACTCAATCTTCCTCTTTACCATAAGCTGAAGCACCCGCTTAGCCCCCTGACACAACTTAGTCTTACTAAGAACTTGAAGCATTGCATAATACACAATTGGATCGTGCCTGTACCGCCATTGACGATCTGCCCAATAAAAGAACTTCAAAGCAACCCTTTCATCAGACAAAGTCCTCAGTACAGCACAAACTTGCCTAGGCTTCAAACTTCTCAACAAGTGCCTCAACTCCCCTTCAAGCTTCGGAGTCCATGCTGCACGAAAATCAATTATCCTACGAACTTCTTTAACTAGTGGGTGTCTTGATTCATCTTCATCCCCCTCAATACTTCTACAAACTTCACTTTGATTTCTATTCCTATTATATGAATTCAAAACCCTTAATTCAATTTCACTGTCCCCCTCATTCTCCCCTCCTTTGTTGGACTCTACAGATTCGCCCACTATATCAAGGTTAGATTTTTCTCCACTCTTATCAAGAAGTCCATCTGAAATTGAAATTCTACATTCTTTAAAACCCTTTTCTCTATTCCCAACATATCCATATTCAACGCCATCTCTTTCCAGAGACTGCCCACAAACTTTAGGGTTCAAAACTGAAGTAAAGTTCGGGCTTTTACACGATTGTGACGAAAAATATGCAATAACTACATTACAAGTAAGTGGGCATTCATGAAAATTGTCCCCAAACCAAATAAACTTACTGAATTGGCGAGTTCTAATTAGGGTTTCTCTGATTTTGTTACGAGCATTGGAATTAAATGGCATTTCGGTGAATCAAAATGCAGTAAACGAATTTCTTATACTTTTTTTTAACAGATAATTACAAAAAGAGATCGGAGCTTACGACGGTGCAATCGAACGGAATCGCGGTCAAAGTTAGGATCTTTACGATAATGTTAGAGAAAATTGCGTGTACAGAAATTTGGGATTTGATAATCAAGAAACTTAGATTGGGGATTCAAGTACCATAATGGGAAATGTTTGGAGACTGAAGCTGAAACTTTTTCTTCTAAACTAGTAATCTTTGAATTAAGGGGCCTTCAAATTTCAAGGTACAACAAATCCTCTCGGGCCAGCCCAATAATAGCAATTATTAACAATGGGCTATGGCCAGTATATATATGTTCAAGCATTCACATAAGCAATAATGGATACCGCTTATGGCAATTGATGATATTGTCCAGGGATGGAAAAATTGCACCACCCGATCTTGCTTGGTCCCACGTTACCCTGCGATGGAACAGGAATCATAGTCTCCATTTCGATTATTTTTTCATTTTATATTTTTTTCAATCATATTAAAAATATTTAAAGTAAATAAACAAACAAGCATGACTATAAACGAGAATTTTTTTAATCTGCTTTCCATGTCGATTCTCAAAAATTCCTTATGAGACAAGGATGGGACAGAAATGACCATATTTTTTATGTCATATTACATTATGCACTCTGGCTCTGATATGTGACCTCGAATAATTAAACTAAATTAATGAATTTAGTCAAGAGTTTTTTTTTTTTTTTTTGGGGGGGGGGGGGGGTTTTAAAATTAAAAAAAAATTTTTATTTTATTTTTTGCTCTTTCTTTCATTGTAATCCTCCAATTTATTTTTTTTCCTGAACAAAGATAAGTCAAAAGAAATATTTCCCTGAAAGAACTCTGTTTTTCTTCTACCGCCACCATCCCTCACCTTTTAGTGCAATTTTCCCCTTTTGTTTTCTCTAATCAATTATTCAAAATTGTGAAAATGTTATTATGAGCAAATTGTGTTGATTGGCCATGTAAAAGTATTTTACCATTACACTAACAATGGTTGTTTTATGAAAAAAAGACATTCAAAACTGAGAATTACGATAGAAGAAAAATGGAGTACACTTTAACTATAAAAAGAATGAAAGTCTTTGAAGTTGTTCAACTACGTCTCTATAATTCACTACAATGAATTCAAATCATAAAACATATAATACTTTAATTTATCATAAATTTATACTAAAAGTCAAAAAGGAATTGATAATTTGTTTTCCATATTATAACGTAGTCAACATTCAAGACTCTCGTGGTCTATGTTTTTAGCTTTCCTCAATTCTTCAAAGTTTTTGGTCCTAAAAAGAAGCCAAATAAGACCAACCCAATTCTTACATTCCTTGTTTGAAATTCAAAGCCCTCATGTTTCCAACATCAAATGCTGTCTTTAATTATCATTCTTCTCCCATATTTTTTTTTTCCCGAATATAGAGAGAGAGAAAAGGGAAATTAATTTACGAGAAGGAGATCAAGAAAAGTGATAATGGCTTGCTTTGTGCCTTTCAATAATAGGAATTTGGACATAAGTTTTCTTGTCTTCCGACCAACGGTTGTGTTTGTTGATGATCTAGTCGAGGCGTTAAAGCAGTTTTCCCTTTGTACAGAGAATCTTGGTTGTGTTCACAGCGCAATCTTTAGAAGTATTCATGGGAACATGGTACGTTTTCTTTCTTAAAAATTATTTGTACAATACCTGACTTTAGATCCTTATAATTGATCGAATAAATCCCGACTCTCTTTTAGCTTGAACTGTTGATGTTTACTACAGATAGTATGGTATGGAGCATGGATGAAGAGATCTAATGAAAATAAGCAATTAATAAATACAGCTATGGTAAGTAGCACTTATTTTATAACTATTTAGTTCCTTTGATTATTTACGAGGATTTTGAGAAAGTCCATGATTAATAGATTTTGTTCTTCCTTGTCAGATTTCCATGTTAACAAATGTAGGAAGCATGGCCATCTTAATTGACAGCAGTTTCTTTGATGCATACGCTGGTGAATCAAAAGATGGTTCTCCAGCAGCAAAATTCTTCAATGGCGATATTATCTCTCTGAGTTCTGCCACAATTTCGGGGAATGAAAACACGTTTTCTTATGCATGTTCAGCTATATTCAAAGACCGTTTTCTGAAAATGGAAGGTGCAACTGCTGGAATTTGCTTGAAATCTCAAACTATGCCAAGAATTGTTGGTCTTTTTGTGTGGAAATCTCTCCAGTTCTGCTACTCTTACATTTTGAACTCGGATAATCGAAACACGATTCTTCCTTATTTTGGTGGAATTCCTTTGGATGTAAAGTACGACGTCTTTAGAGTTGTTTATGTCAGTGGAGACAATTCAGTTTTACACTCATTATAAAATGCTGGAAAATATGTAATTTTTTTTTTCTCTCTCGGTTATGTTGTGTATATGTTAGGTCTGATCTCAGTTTTTATACAGTAAAGCATTGATCTTAGTTTACTCTGCCTATCTAATTAATATAATTATGAGAAAAAAAATAAGGTTTCGGGAATAATGGTATATCTAATAGTCAGTCTGTATTGAAGGAATCTCCAATTGTTATTCGTCAAATTGGTGTAAAAATTTCATCCAACCCAAATTCATATCATTACAACGAAGTTTTTTCTTATTTACCTTTTTGTCATTAATTTTACCCTAGAAAAATTTTTAATTTCTATTATATTATTTTATTATTTAATATTTTAACTTTATTTTAATTTAATTATTATTTTTGTTAACATTTAAAGTAATAAATAACTATATTTATAATTTATTTATATTGTGATGTTAAATGTAATATCTTTAATCGTGGTACTAAGTGTAATGCTTTTTTACTTTATAATAATACAATATTTTAGTTAATTAATTTTTTTAATTTAATAATATAATTCGTAATTTTTTTTAACTAAATTAATTGTTGAGAATTAAAAAAGAAAAAGAAAATAAAGAATCCATTATTAAAATTTGATGTAGTAAGTTCGAGATGGCTAAATAAAAAGTGTAAAAGTTGCACCATTTTTATGTAAAAGTTGCGTTACTTTAGTGTCATGAGTTGAAGATTCTCTAATGATAAATCTCTCATTCATTAAATATCAAAATTATAATTAACGCATAAGAGAATGTTATTCTTTTTAACAAAGCTGATGTTTTGAAATGTTACGTCAATTATCAAACCCTAAGAGTAATGTTATTTGGCCTTTGTGGTGCTAAGCATTATCCTATGTGACAGCTATAACTCTTTTATATGAATATATTTATAATAGATTTATGTTTCTGTACGCGCTTATTTTATTTCAAACTTAAGGATGCAAAGTTGAAGATAAGATTTAAATAAATAATAATTATACATATTCAATCATGCAAGCTTTTTAAGGAGACTATAAATATTTAAAGCTTAACCTGATATAGAGTCAGACAAAAGATTTGAACATTGGTCACATCATCACTCAATTTTTTAAAAATATGCATTTATCAAGTTTTGTTAAGAAAAAACCCAACTGACTCATACGTTTAGATACAACTGTTACACCTCTTTTAATTAGCTCTGAAAACTAGCAAACAAAATCAGGCCTGCACTCCACATCACTATCTTACAATGACCTAGCCAAACTTCCATGTAGATGTCGAGGATGAGGCGAGGCCTTTTAATAGTCGAAGTGATATAATTCATCAAACCCCTATGTAGAAGCTGAACCCTATATAAAGGTCGAACCTCCATATAGAAAAGGAGAGGCAATGTGAAGCGCTACAACACCAATCTAAGGCGAATGACCTCTGAGCATATGAGGCACATTTTTGAAAAGATCTTTCATTAAAGATTGATGTGACATATTTATAGGAGTCATTCTATCGAGTCAACTTGTTAAGTCTACTATTTGCACGTCGGACATAGGTCATAGGTCATAGGGTGGTTAATGGTCAGGAGCATGAAGTGCACTCGAGTTTAGGATTGATAGAATGACGTCTGTGACAAGGCGCCTCAACTATTAAGATGAGATCACGTGTCTTTTCATCACATGATTATCATTCCACATTTTTTATTGTTAAAGCTTGCACTTAATGTCGTTTAAAGGTAATGTAATCTTATATAATCAATTATAACTTAGCTCTTTCATTGTTCTCTAAATACTCCCAGATTTGAACCCCTTTTATTGTGGCTCCCATTTTTAACACATCTGTTTCGCGCGGGTTCGTCGCTAACAATTAAAAAGGGATTAGACGATTGTGTAAGGGACAAACATTTTGAGACAAAGTCCCAAAAAGGGGTGTTCTTTATTGGCGATGACTTTACAATCAGAAAGTAAAAACAGAATGCCTCCAAGGGGCGCAAGCACACGAGTTACTGAAAGAAGTGTTTAAATCTAAACTAAGAAATTTAAAATTACATGTTCTCTGTTCGAGAGTTTTTTGATTCCGGGTCTTTTTTGCTCTATGTCTTTTCTCCCTTTTATACTCCCTGGATGATCTCTTTGTGATCAACCGCCTAAAAACTGCTTGATCGTTCTAACTGCCCACTTTCCTCGTAATGGCCAACTTGTCATGGAACTGTCTTTTCTAACTGCTGCCATTACTCTTTGTCGTTTAACCGTTTTCAATTGAATTCCTTGAATCGTGAAACGTGATAGGGCTGCTTAACAACTGCTTTGATAACTGCGCTTCTTGATAACTATAACACTTCATGTTTGCTAAGACCTTGGGCGACTCGAAGATTTGGGCAAGAATAGAGTAGCAGCTCTGGGTGACTACATGGCATTCCATTCGCTCAGATCCTGGGCGACTTGCAAGCTTGAGCGATGGTGTTACCGCGTTCATGGGCCTCCCTATTTGGGCCTTCATCCTGAATTGTCTGATTGAGCTTCATTCTTTGGGCTATCTGATTTGGGGATCCTCCAATTGGGCTTCATTCCTTGGACCGTTCGATTTGGGCTGAATTTTTATGTGTCAACAATTACCCCCCCAATATGGCAGAATTAATACCAATTATTAAATTTTGTCATATTCACTTTTGTGTTTCCAACAACATTCGAAACTCCCAAAAATTTCAATCATTGTTTTCTTCCATAGCTTTGAAAAGGTGCGACGTTTTGCAAACCCTTATAACCCCCAAATACGTCATTTCACTGCACCATTAAATCATGCCTCACTTTTCCGCACTTCTCTCTCACATTTTTACTGTTCATCTCTTTGCTTCCCTGCTACGTAACTCTGAAAAACTCCATTTCGTCCCTAATGGCTACTTCACAATCTCGATTTGGCGACTCCTTTAGTTTTGAAGACTTTCAGAAACTTCTTAATCGTCCATACATAACTCCGAACTTTCTCGCACCTGCCAATGTCGAACTCAATGAGTTCTACCTAGGTCCTTTCTTCAACAATGGAAAGGCAATCGAACAAGTGGCGGTGGGCTAGCTGTTTTCTTGTACTCAAGGCCCTCCATTTCTAAACTCTCTGCCGCTGGGGCCACTTCGCGAAAGAGGTATTCGCACTTGACCCAAATCTGACGTAGTTTTCCGTAGGTGGCATGCTTGCCTTGTAGACCATGGTCCTACTAAGACACTTTTTGATAATGCTAGGATTTCTGATTTGTTAGAAATCTCTCTTCAACCCCCTATTTTTGATTCAGCACTTTTTTCGATCGCTTTAAGTTTTTGGTCTTCTGAATATAATATCTTTGTTTTCCCTCTTGGCCCCATGTCTATTACTTTAAAGGATGTTGGGGCCCTAGTGAATCTGCCACCTTTGGGTGATATCATTTTTCCTGGTATCTTGGTTTCTGATGGCGCCCCAAAGTTTGGTAAAAACCTCACCGAGTCTTATTCAAGCCTGCAAACCCTTCATAACCATTCGAGCGCTAAGTCTTCCCATACTGAGCGAGTGGCCTTTCTTCTGGTTTGTCTTTGTAAATATGTTTTGTGTGTGCCAAGCATAAAGCTCTCCCTGAGCTATTTACCCATAGCGCACGAATTGGCGCGTGGCAGGCCTCTAATTTATGTTCTTTCTTTTTGGCTGCCCTCTATAGAGGCATGACTTCTCTTCAAATTCAATTGAAGAATGGTGCATCTCCTACTGGCAGTGGACCTCTTTGGTTCACTCAAATGTGGTTGAGATCCTATTTTTCATTGTTTGGTGCTCCATCAATTTCTCGTCCTTCTGCTAGCTGCTATGGGCTAGCCATTGAGCCCCTGGCTCCTGTAAATATGTCTAGAAGGGATTTTTTTTCATTTTTTTATTCTTTGGATTCAATCCCTTCCTTCTTTCCTTTTCCTCCCTTTTTGACTCCAGACTATGTGCATCCTCCCTCCACTATAGACAGCGCAAGCACCTTTCTGCTCATTTGGATCCATTTTTAACCGGGATGGAGTTATTTCATGATATTTTGACTAGGACCAATGCCAAGGCAGGGGTAGAAATATATACTCCCCAATTTTTTGCTCGCCAACTTGGTTTCGGCCAAACTTGGTCTGTTCCTCCTTGCTATTCAAGGAACTTGATAGACCGGCTCCATATTATTAATAAGGCGAAGGCAGAGGTTATAAATGCTCACAATCTTCTTCTGACGAGCCATTTTTCATTAGCCCCCTTCAATTTTAGTCGTGCCATCCATCCCCTTTTTGAACAGCTCTGGCCGTCAATGAAGCGTAGATTGTTTGCGACTGATGCCAATCGTGCCTTTCATTCACTGGACCAGCCAAACATTTCTTCCCCTCCTCCTGTTTTAGTCACTCCTTTGTCCATCCGGAGTCCTTCTCCTCCTCGTCGCGCTAAACAGTCTGTTCGTCCATCTTCTTCTCTCCCTGCCAAGCCTACTGCAACCAAAAGTGCCTCGAGTCGCAAACGGCCAGCCTCAGCATCTCCCATTCTGGAGGATGATGTTGATGATGATGATGATGATGATACCCCTCTTATTATCAGGAGAAAGGTAATTAAATTGGTTTACTCACAAGCATACTTTTCCATACTTGAAATTTTTCTGTGTGCTGATGATTTATTTGGACTTTTAAGAAAAGTTCAGTCTCTCCTTTAAAGGCTTTGGTATCGGCAGCTCCTGCTCCATCATCCTCCGCTGAGGCTATTTCATCCAAACTAGCTGATGAAGGGACTACACTTAGAGAGACATCTTCAGTCCCAGAATCGTCATCACAACCAATGGATGAGCCACCTTCTTCCCAGGGCGTCAACCCCCCAAACATCGAAACAGAAGATAATTCAGTTTTTTGATGCTTTACCTTTGCTTGTGCTATTGGTTTCTGATTTATTGCTTTTGAGTTCTGCAGATGCTCCTATGAGTCTGCCCGTTGTGGCAACATCTTCTCGCTCAGATAAGGGGAAGTCCTTGAGAATGGTGGAGCCATAGGTGGCAGACTTGGCTGAGGATATGCCATCTTCTAAGATTATTGATGAGGTAATCTTTACTTCACTTTTATTTCCATCTTGTTCGTTGTAGTGAGAATCTTCAGTAT